TTGACTGTACGTTGCTGTGAATGAAGTGCGAGTGTTTTGGGTTGTTGATGTGTTGAAGAATATTGTGTGCCATGTTGAGTTGGTTGTTGGGTTGGCGAATGGAGATCTGCTGTCAAGTGTGGCTGCTGTTGCTTCAAGTAGTGCACTGGTTGTGGCAATGGTGATGGAAGATGTTGAATTGGTGAATAGTGATGTTGAGTTGAAGCTGGATACTGGTGTGCTGAATCTTGAGCTTGTCCGTGTTGCGGTGATGATGAATACAGTTTAACTGTTGAGTGTTGTAAATGCTGAGACGGGTATTGGGTACTTTGTGGCTGTTGATATGGTTGTTGTAGTTTGTGTGGTTGCTGTGGTGAAGTATATTGTCCGATTATAAATTGCGGTTGTTGTATTTGTGGTAGTTTTTGTAGTGGTGGTGGTGAAAAGCTCGCTGCTGTGGGATATTGAAGTTGGTCTATTGAATAAACATGGGCTGTGTATGGGCTTGTTGCCAAAATTTCTCGTTGTCGTGCATTTAAAAATAACCGTTGATTGTCAATTAGATGTTGTTGATTCAAATAATTTTGTTCCGGTGTTGCTATGGATTGTTGGTTTGGACCTTTAATATGTTGTTCATGCACTTGTTGAAAATATTGTTGGAAATGTTGTTGCTGTGGTTGCTGTATTTGTTGCTGTTGGTGTAGTAGTTGCTGGTGCAGTTGAAATTGATCAAATATTCCTTCTTTGTGTTGTTGCTGTTGTTGATTTTGTTGGTGTTGTTGATGTTGAGCTAGTTCCAAAAGTTGCTTCCTCAGTGTTTCGGTCAACTCTGTTTTCATATCATCTTGAAGTGATTTTTTCATTTCAGGTTCTGTTTGAAGGTTGCGAGGTTGTTGAGCACCTTGTTCTCCATCCTTCAACTTTTGCACACTTGTATGCTGCTGCATGTCAGGTGGTTGCAACGAAACATGTTGTTGTTGTTGTGGCTGCTGCTGCTGCTGCGGTTGATGCTGTTCTTCTTTTTGATGATCAAGCTCATATATCTGCTTGTTTAGTTGCTGTGCAGTTTCATTTTGCTTTGAATTTTTTTGTTCAGCCAAATGACGCGAATTAACTTTTTTGCAATGTTGTGACTTAGTGCTGGATTGTTGTTGTTGCTGCTGATGGTTTTGCATCTGCTGTTCTTCTTTATCTCTAAATTTTTGCTTTAAATGCATTTTTTCTAACTGTAACAGAGGTTTTTTCGGCTGCAATTTTGCATGATGATTTTTTTCATTAAATTTCGTAGTTGATATTGATGGTTGTGTTGTTGAATTGTCAGTCGTCGTGGTGAATGATGTTGTTTTCGACGTTGTGGTGCATGATGACGAGGAAACAGACGACGAAACTGACAGACGTCCACGTGCCTTCGACGACAGCGACTTCGGTAGCGACAGAGTTTTGTGTGTCTGATTTCTTCTCTGCCTTGCTTGTCTGCTTGGTCTTTCAATAGCAGATTTTATCGAGTCCTCGTCGTTCGGGTCAATTAGAAATTCATCTCCACCTATCAAACGACTTTCCAGATCGGTCGACGGTCCAATCTCTTTAGAGCCCAAAATCTTGCGATAATAAGAGGAATCCACTTTCTTGCAAATTCTTTTCTCACCAACATCTGTTTCTGAGCTGATTGATTCAGTTGAAACTATTTGAGTCAGGCTATGTCCCATGTTGTTTTTTACTTTGTTGCTTGGAAAAGTTTTCAACAATTGTTCCCTGTGAAAGATTTCTTTCTTATCTAAAGTTAAACAAATTTTACTCTGCTGATCGTTCAATGAAGACTTGTTAACATTTAATTCTGTTTCTTTGAAATTGTTGTGGTTTGTACTTTCTTTATGAGGAAAATATTTATAAGTTGCAGTGTTGCGTTGTACGTTCGGTTGTATGCTTAGTGCGTCATTGCTACTTGGCAAGTGGGAAGAGCGCTTAAATTCAGATTTGTTGCAGTAAGAAGATTCTCCGCGCAGAAAACCATGCTGTGAAACTTGCTCAACTTTCTCACATGTCTGTACACATTTTTCATCTGTTACCTTGTTATACGAAAAATGGTGCGGAGAAAATTCACGCGGATGACTGGGGAGCCGAAAAAAATCATAAACCTGTTGAGGCTGCCATTGGTAATTATATTGAGCAGGCTTAGCAGTAACGTTGAGGCAGTTGGGTGGATAGAACTCGTCGATAATTGTATTGTCCTGGATGACTTCTTTAAAATTTTGTGGCTTGCTTTGCATCAGGCCAAGTAGGCAGACCCTGAGACAATTGAGGTCGGACAACATCCATTCATTCTGACGTAGTTCTGTTAAGACCAGGATGGGTTCAATGTTGCCGAGGTACACGCAGGACAAAAGTTCATTGGCCAGAGGCACTCTTGTTTGTTGATCATAGTTGACCCAGTTGATGACCGCATCCAAGATGTCCTTCTCACTCCTCACTCTCAGTTCGCCACTTTGAAGAATGGGAAGCAATCTAAAAATGTTGTCGTTGCTATTCAGACTATGAATTAGTTTATTCATCATATTAGTTGTTTATGTTGTTGTTATTGTGAAATTTCTGTCCATTTGAATATATGAGCATGTAATATATTTCAATATATATATATATATATATATATATATATATATATATATATATATATATATGTTATAACTAAAAAATTAATATAAAAATGAGAGAGTTTAAAATTCTATTTTTTAATAATTTTTCAAAAATTTTCATCATCGTCATCCAAATGAAAACTAATCAGAATGGTACTGGGTATCATCATTAGCCCCACAGTCACGAACCTTTTTAAAGGGAGAAGGAGGAAGTGTGTTGTTTGTGAGATGTTGATGAAGTGGTGAGTGATGACAGTGAAGGAAGCCTCTCTGAGAGAGCTGCAGTCGTTGTTGAGAGCGATGGAGTAGAAGAGGACAGCGTTTGACGGATTGACGTTTTCTATCATGTAGTCAGTGCAGAGCTGGATGGCAGAAGTCATGTTCAGTTGCTGGGCACACAACATTATCTGGCCAACATTTTCGGACGACAAGTTCAACACTGACGTGTACACATACTCTAGAACTGATTTAACGATCTAGAAGTGCAAAGATTTTAAATGTTGATAAAACTCCTATCAGAAAATTATTAAGTGAACATAAAATTCAGTTTTATACCAAAGTTTTTTCAGAAAACAACATTTCATCACCGTTTGATTTTACAAAACATGTTTTCAACACAATATATGATTGGATAATATTTTAATGGGCGACAAAAAAAGAGACTTGCTAGTAAAGCAAAACAAAGCAACCGATGAAACGTACTTCCAAAGAGAAGTCACTGAGATCGATGTTAAACATTTCGTTACCTTCGTACCTTGAGAAGACCTCAACCATTTCGAGACAGCACAAACACAGTGCAAGTTTGTGAGCTTTTGAAGTTTTAAAACAACTAATATATTTGTGTATACATGATTTGCATATATATGTATTCACTTAGTCGATTATGTATTTATCTATCAGTATTTTACAGTACCATCATTTAAAAAATTAAGATAGGTGGGTGGTGTATTCAGCGAAAGTACGAACGTACGAGTCGTGGCTTACGAACGTACGAACAATGAGTTCGTTTGATTATTTATTTCATACTCCAATTAATAGCAAGTCAAAAAACATTGCCGTCATTTGGAATTGTTAGGATGGAAAAATGGGAAAGGAACCTTGCACGTGTCCATCGGCAGCTATAACGACGATGTCACACATCAGCTGACGCTTGTAGAGATTGTACAAGTTTGCGTAACCTAACCAATTTTTTAAATTAGTTAATAAATTAATTTTACGCGTATAAATATTTTTATTTATATAGGTTATTGTATATATATATATATATAATATATATATTATATATATATATATATATATATATATATATATATATTTATATAGGGTTTAGACTATCATAAATAAAATTATTTATAAAGATCACTGCGTTTTCGGCATTATTCAACTTGCAGTTGAGTTTCTAAACTTTTTGTAAATATCTTTATAAATACTTGTATTTATTATATATATATATATATATATATATATTATATATATATATATATAATACGATAGGATACGATATTATCAACATAAGTAATCGTAAAGTGAGTAGAAATCAGTTGAGTATAGTGCTACGACAACTTTTTAATTTTCATTGTAAGACTATCGTGCGCTCTTTTTTGCTATGCTTGCATGCACATATACTTACAAATAACCATTTCATATCTTTGAAATAAAGAAAAAGTTTGGCCTTTTGTGGCCTGTTAAATTGGAAAAATATGGTAAGATCGGTAATTCATTATTATCACTTGACAAAATTATGCACCTGCGTTGTTAGGACTGAAATTTAACTGATTTGGAATATTTCTGTTGAACGGTGTGAGTGTATCAAAACTGCCAACAATTGCATTCGAGCGGAATAACTTGCTAGGAAAATCTGAAACATTTTTTGCTGAAGTTTTTTCAATTCGTTTGTGCAAAGGCAACATAGGTTTCGGTTTGGAGTATGAGTTCAAATATGGAGGAACACATTTTCTGGGACTGCAAAGAAATGTTGTTGAACGTGGCGGTGACGACGACGATGGTCGTACAGAAGCCTTATAACCTCTTGCATATTCTGAAGGGACGGGCTTGAACTTTTTGAACAAAAATTGAAAATAATAATCAGTAAAACATTTATCCACAAGTAAGACATGTAAAAAGCAAATGTATAGAATTCGATGAAAAAGATCTACCTTGCCGGATGCCTCACTTCTGCATCGTACTTTTCCATCTCCAACAAAATCTTGAAATAATATTTCAAAGTAATCAAATATATTTTGGATAAGGTTGACTCAATTTGAATAAAATACTTTTCTCTCTGTGGACAGGATGGATTATTTTATTAGGCAGCTGTCTCAACTGGTAAGTTGACAAATCTTCAAAGCTTCAAGATTTTTTTAACAAAATTCGTAAATTTAAAAAAAAACAAAATTATCAACAGAGTAAACTGAGTAAAATCACTGACTTTATTATAATGTAATCAACCATATAACACTAAATATTTATATTAACTACATTTATACTTAACTTCACATACAAATATTTGCTAGGTAATAGGCTAAAATTATTTTATTATTAATTCATTCAATTTAGAAAAAATTTGTCAGCAATTAATTTGAAAAAATTTCTCTGTAGGTTGGATTATGAGAGCCTAGAAACCTTAGATAGATAAACCAGCCACACTGTTATGCCTAATCTTTTTAAAATCACATACTGTCAATATAAAAATTGGTTTTTAACACTCATTGCTTCAATTTTGTGTGAATGTATCTGTCCTAAATACTGATAAATGTAGAACTGAGTGTAGTTTCTTATTTATTTCCAATATGAAAATAATTTCAACAAATAGTATTCAACTAAAAGTTTTTAATTCGAATTAATTAGCTAATTATATTAATTTTAATAACTAGATTGAGATACAGCAATAATTATTCTGATATTGTTACAACATCTCAGTAACGCACAATTTGATTTCCAAGTGAAAAAGTTAAGAAAATAATTAAATAAATTTCGACTTGAAGAAAATATATTTTCAACGGCTGCTATGACGTTTTTTTCATTTTTATAAAAAGTTACATACTAAAAAAAATTGTATTTAAAATTTATTTCTTACTTCTTATCCTCAGAAAAGACAAATCTAGACATCAACGAACGATGAACTTTCCAGTTAGAAATCTTGACCTTCCTCCGGAAGAAATATAATTTTAAAATTGGAAATCATTGAAGATGACTGATATTGTTTTTCAAAATGTCAACGGATACATTTAATAATTGCCACGGCATGTCTTCTGTGCTTGTTTTGTGACGAGCGTCATCTTGATATTTCACTCGCATCACGTTACGAGACCGATGTTATTTAATTCAAAGTTGAAAAGTTGTTGTCTTGAAAATAACGTCACATCCATTTAAAAGTTAACGCGATTAAAAACGCCAAAAACAAATTACAATTAATTTTATTGTCGCGTTCGTGTATATATATAAAAAAAAACCATAACGTAAGTTATAAAATAATATTATGAAAAGTGATAAACATTGTTAGTTAGTAATTACAAAATAATCTAGAAATACAACTATTAATCCATATGATTCAAATAATGAAATGTAGGTGGTAAATGGATATTTCACTGTGTGCTAGCCTACTTCATTCACACCTGGGGTAGCCTAACGTACGCCACACACGCTCGGACAGTGCAGTGGCGAGTCCAAACATTTCTAACAAGTGGGAATAGTATGAATATTTTAAACAATTTGCAATATTTCTGGTAGAAATGAGATATATTCAACGGTTTTTGTTGCCCGGATAAATGTTAGACAAGAATTTAGATACCAAAAGTTTTTGTTTATAACATTTCGATTATATTTCATAATTGATGGAGGAGAAAAGTTATCTCCTATTCCATGTACGGACCAGTTCCGAGCGGTGATCACCTACATTATTTTATAGGGTACACCATTTTTTATTTTTAATATACCAAATATAGTCATCACAAAACTACGTTATGCGTAGGGAGTATGTAACAGAGTTTAATTGATTAATTAAAAAGATTTTTTAAAATATCAAAATTAACCAGCATGAGTAAAAAATATATTATGAACATTATGAAGGATTTTTTGTGTGGTACATCTTTTATATTGCAGTATGTGAATCGATTTTATTGATTGTTGATGTATCGGTTGATGTGTGAGAAAAAAGTTGTAGCCTCGTTGGTTTGTCGGTTAGTTGACTGGTTGGTTTTTGGTTGACTGGCTGGCTGATTGGTTGGTTGGATGGCTGGTAAATTTGTTGGCTGATCGGTTGGTCGGTAGGTTTGTTGGTTGAAGTTGCACAGCGTTCAACTTAATTTTTTTATTTTCTTTTGAGTTTTCTGCAAATTAAATAAACATAATAATAAATTTATTTTATTTAATTATTTAATAAAATATTTTATTTAATAAATTAGATTGAATAATTGACAGTGTAACCAGAGTTTTCAATGAGGTATTTTTAATTAGCACATATTCAAATTAATTTTTCTTCAACATGCTACGCGTTAACTTGACATTTATTTATGAAGAATTTTTCAATAGTTAATTTTTATTGAACAATATAAATAATATTTTTATATATTGTTATTTAATATCTCTCATCAATCAATCATTCGTCAGCTCAAGTCGGATGTATTTATGAATTCAACTTCTCCAGCTTTATGATCTAAACAACATTCATTTTTCAATCAATCATTCTACTAAAATTTCTAAATATATATTTATAACTATTGAAGTACATACATGTAGAAATACATTATATAAACATAAATGTATTTATATAATGTATTTCTACGTGTATGTTCTTCAATAGTACATACAATAGTACATTACATACGGATATTAAATACATTTCATAAATCATTCGTATTTAAGTACATTACACATAAGTATAATGCATTAAATGCCGCACATACACACGTGTACTTTTCACACGTACAAAAATACATTTCATACTCAATAACTATTTAAAGAATTTTCTAATTTTTATCACCAACAAAAAATTGTTTAACAATTTTTTCAGAGTGAAACTTGAACGAGAAATGCTCTCTTACTCTATCAGCACTAAGTACGAAAGGCTCCAGTTGATCTTGGAGAAAGGAGTTGGCAGTTTCTTGCAGTTGTTGTAGCGAGTAATTTGAGCTGATGTGGTTGCTGCTGATGTTGTTGTTGTTAACAAAAATCCTTGGACTGATGTTCTCGTTTCTGGATTTATCATGTCTGTTGTTGTTTGTTGTGTTGTTGTTGTTGACACTCGTCATGATGTTGTTGTTGTTGTTGCTGTTGCTTTTGTTTGTTGTGGAATCGAAATTTTTGTTTACAGTGTTGCTAATGATGTTGTTGTTGTGGTTGTTGCTGGAAGTTGTCATATTTATTTTTGAAGATAACGTTGTGTTAGTTTTGTTGTAAGTTGTTGTTGTCGCGGTTAAAGTAATAGTAGTAATAGTAGTAGTAATAGTTGTTGTTGTTGTAGTTGATGTTGTTGTTTTTGTCAAATTTGTTGTGATTGATGTTGCAGTTTTTGTAGTTGATGACGTTGTTGTTGCTGCTGTTGTTGTCGTGTTGTATAATGCAGACTCTCTTGCCTTGTAGCAAATGTTTCTCGGCGTTGTAATGCTCTGCTCTGTTTATAGTTTCGTGTATTTGTTAAACATCTATTCACATTTCATCCACGTTTCGTTCACATCTCATTTAACCGTAACCCCATATCATTCACAATTAATTCACGTTTATTTCACACGCAATTGCCTTTCACTTACATTATATTCACGATTAATTCACGACTAATTCACAAGTATTAACATTTCGGTAACATGCTTTCTTACTATAGACATCTACACAAGCATTTCAAAAACCACGTGGAATGCATCTCAGTAGCAAACCTCGAACTTGGTTCTCCAGTGTTGTGATGAGGAAAACTGCTTGTTGCAGGATGGCAAGTTTCGTTTGAGGTTTGTCGGACTGTAACCTCTGGGTGACCATGCGCCCAAGCTCTTTGAAGGCCTCGTTGATGTCACGTACACGAACTCTTATTGGTTTGTTGTTTTATTACATCGTTTATTTATTGGTTTCAATTAATTGATTGGCTAACCTTCAACCAATCACAAACCTACCATTCACCAACCAACCACAAACCGACCAATCACAAGCCGACCAATCATCAATGAACCAATCACAAACCGACCAATCAACCTACCGTTCTCTGGCATTATTTTGCTGCCTCCTCAACTTTTCTTTCTCCAACTTAACTTCCGGCGTTTCATCATCATCATGACCATCAGCCATGTCGTCATCGTCGTCATCGTCATCAAGTATTTGATTACTGTTTGTTTGTTTGTTTGCTCTTATGTTTATTTGCCTATTTGTTTGTTTCAATGATACGATACAAAACGTCACGGTTATATATTTAGTTTTTTTTTAAACACTTAAAGTTATTTCATGAACCACAGACACACACACACACACACACACAAATACAGGCACACAGACACACAACTACATATTTATAAATCTGTGAAGGAATGCATACATACGCATGCATGTAATATTATATGCACCGTAATATATACAACAATTTATACGAACGTGTCTCCACAGCTATTACTATCTCCAGATGAAAAATTTGAAAATCTGAAATTTAGAAATAAATATTAATTAAAATATTCAAAGACAGAGCTGTAAATGATTTCCGGTTTTTTACTGATTGAGTGGTAAAAAAAGATACGTCCGATGCAGTTATAAACATTGGATGGGATGACTGTGAAATTTTAAAAGACCAAATTTTAAAAGATAGATAGGTTGAAAGAGATTCTGAAAGGGTAGATGCCACCGACTTGAACAGAAATTGAAGAGGCTAGGATCATTTATTGACTTTTTGTATTGTTTAACAGTGAATCAGTTGTTTTCAAGCGTTTGAACATCTTTTATAATTAACTTAAACAAACCGTGGTCTCTTGGTTTGTCCGTAATAGGAAGTGCCTGTTCCAGTACCTGTGTGCTGCTGATGATGGTGAAGTGGTTGTTGCTGCTGCTGATGGAGTGGCTGCTGGTGGTGAGGATGATGAGGAGGATGTTGTTGGTGTTGCATCGATGAGCCGTGCTGATAGTAATCTCGTTTTGACGTCATCGGTAAGAGAGGCAGTGGTGATGACGATGATGACGTCGTTAACAACCCAACTGCGTCATGTAAATATTTCATATACTGTAGCTCTGACAAAACTTAAAACCATGCTCAATGAATAAAAAATAAATTTATTATAATATAAAGCATAAATACATTAATTTAGTTCTAAAAAACTTCAAATATGGCTTATAATCTACTTAAGAGTATGAAAAAATTCTTGACTTGTTATCTTCTGCATCAGTTTTTTCACACTACCTTCTATAAAACAACATTGCGATTTGAAAAAAAGTAAAGAAGACAACAGCAGAATGAACAGAATGAAGAGACACAAAATGGACGTAACATAAACACTCAGACAGACCTTGATCGTTGCAGAGGTATGGACAGCTTTCGTTAGTAGCCTCGTAAGGAAAACAACTCTGGCGATTCAAAAAAATATTATTTTTATATTTCGTCAATTTATTTAAAACTTCACATCAAAAGATTTTTCAGTAGCATGGCTCTGGAATGATTTCTAAAGTTATAAGCATAGCACGTTTCGATTTCAGACCAATTATAAATCTGACAAATGAAAAGTTAGCAGCAGCACGAAACCAGCTCATGTCCCTGAAACATCGTACAGTTAGTATTGCCGTATCATTATGACAACAACAACAACAACAACATTATCATTACAATCCTCCCAAATGCATCGTTACAATAACAACGCAATCGCAACAACAATAACAACGTTTCAACAATCACATGTTGCATTAACTATTTATTTCCTAGGAATCAGCAAAGACAACAGCAGGAATTGAAATAAACAATGTTTTACAAATTGTAGTGAACACCACCTGACCTGGGTTGTTTCCTTGTTATGTTGATTGTAATGGCTGCTATTATTGTAGTTGTAAAAATGGTAGTAGTTGCATTGATAACTGCTTATGTTAGTGTTGTTGCTATTGATGTTTTGATGGTTGTGGTTGATGTTGTTGTTGCTGCTGTGATAATTGTTGAACCATTTGTTGGCTGGATAACTTTCTGTTTGTTGAGAAAAATACATTAATGTAATTTATAATCTTTGTATACATTTCGATTCTGGTAATGTTTTAATGTCCAGAGGCTTAAGATTACAAAACTTCATACCAAAAAAACTGACGAGACTGAATTTTTCGGAACAAAATTTTCTAAAACATGAAAGTAGAAACTTATAAAGGAAAATTTTGAACAATTTTAATAATAGAAATATATATTTAAGAAAATGCTACAATCGCAGTAGCACAAAATAACATCAATAATTAACGTAATAACAATTTTAATGTCATTAATGACAAAATTGAAAAAAACTAAAAACAATAACAAACCATTGAGACCATCTTCTGGAAAATTCCTGACCCGATTCAACGCTCCAGCAGTGTTCCCATTATTATGACCCACCATCAGTTCGTAACCTGGTAGATAACTTTTGTTCTGTTGCATTAATGGGCTGGTGCTGTTGTAGCTGCTGTAGTAGCTGCAGTATGGCTGTGGCTGGTATTGTTGTGGTTGCGGTTGGTGCACCATATTTTGTTGGTGGTTGTAACAATAGTTGTTGAATGGTGGAGAGTAGGCGGACGAATAAAATAGCGATGGTGGCGTTGCCAATGTTGACTGCGGTTGAACATGTGACTGAGGGCTGTCCACGTGGTCAACTGAGGGACTTTGATTCATGACGTCACAAGATTTGTTTCGCCCTGCGCTGTTTTTGTCGTTGGAATCTGAAAGTGAAGAAGCATTGAACAGATGTCACTCGGCGTACCTTAACTTATGCTGCTGCTGCTGCTGCTGCTGCCGCCGCTGCTGCTGCTGCTAGATTGTTTGCAATGATGTACGCCAATCTGATGGACGATTAGAAGCGACCATCGTGTAGTTGCAAACAACAGCAAGTGGAAAGCAGAAGTTTATAAAATTAAATAGATTAGCGATTAAAACAACAACATCATCTTTAAAGAATAAAATTTTTTAAAATCCAAAAATAACAAAAACACATAAACAGAACGAAGTGTCGATGAAATAAAACTAACAAAAATGACCAAACGACCGCAACAACAGAAACTGCATCAACACTAGCACAACATCAAAACTAGCAACAACATAAAAAAAACAATAGCAATAAGAACAAAGATGTTACGAGCCGAGCAGATCAATCACTTAGTTATGAAAAAGGGACTGCCCTTAATTGAACATTGCTAAGTACATTTGTACGCTTGTCACGTAACTACCAGCTAACGTCCAGAATATCTTTCTTTCTTTCCTTCTTTCTTTCCTTCTTTCATTTTTCTTTTTTTCTTTCTTCTTTCTTACTATCTTCTCTGTCGTGTTTGTATCATTTATGCTTCGCTTGTTTGCTTGTGTGTTTGTGTGTTTGCATGTTTGCACGTTTATGTATGTTTCAATGTGTGTTTACTTGTATACTGATGACACGGACACAATCAGCGTTGATTGCATCTATGATGATATACAAGTTAAAGATGATGATAATAAGGTTAAGATGATAATAAAAATTTAATCAGTTTCTGACTGAACGACAGATGAAATCTTTTTTTTGAAGATGACAATGGGAGGGAGGAGGAAGTTGAAGCGAAGACATCAGCCACGTTGGCCACTCGTTGTTAGTGTTGTATTTTGTAATGCGCTCGCGTGCGTGATTTTGTATGTTTCAATCTGTTTTTTAATGTTTTTTTTGCTTGCATGTGCCCACGTTTTTATGTATTTGTGAATTGTTTGTATGCAGTTCGATTGTTTTGTTAAAAAAAATGTTTTTCATAAAAGGATGCGATTTCATTCAAACATATTAAACGTGCATTGTTGATTGAAGTTGTTTATCATTTTGCCTTTTTTAAATTATTGTTGTTTATGTGCGTTTATATGTGCCTTTGTATCTGTGGTTCGTGTGTATGCACGTGATATGGATGGGTACGTGTGTGTACGTCTGTATGTGTATAGTGTATACATGTTGATGTTTACGGTGCTAATGTTTGTTGCACTGTTTCACGCTGGCATATACGTCGAGTCAGTTTATTTTTGAAAGTCTTATCATCTCGCATCTTAGTCCATCGTACGATGCTGGTGTGTGATTGTTTTTCTTCGTCTGTTTGTTTATTTGTGTTTGTACGTCTCTGTATGTGTTTGTATATGTCTTAAATGTGTATTTTTGTGTATTTTACTGATCTGTTTGTATGCGTTTGTTTATTATTAGTATATTTTTTAATTAAGTTTGATGTTTCTCTACGTATATTACATTGTCTTTCTGTTAGAGAGCTTTATGTACGTCATATAGTTTTTTCAACTTTGCTTATGTTCAGCTATCAATACAACAACCTACAAACAATCTACCAGCACCAGTCTCTGAATCACTTCACTTACGTATGTGTACTCAAACTACGTACTGACAATGTATTTGTATATAGGCATACCCGAATTTAAGTAGGTACTCCCAGAGCAATTTTGGTTTATCCATCATATCTCTTCAGAAATCAAAGAAACCTCGTTGATAACATGTTTACTTAAATGGATGATCGCAACAACTTTTTTGTAATGAAATATTCGGGAAAAATATGCAGAAGATATAGATGTGGCGAAATGTGAGCATGATAGCATCAACAGCAGTCAACACGTGATAGCATCAACGGCAGTCAACACATTAAACACGCTAAGCGATTTTATGCTGCTAACAAAAAAATGACATCAACAAGAGAACCAACAATGAAATAAAGTTTCATATTATTTAGAATTTTCTTTTTTTGGAGTCCTTTTTCATGTTCTTGTATAAAAAAAAAACAACAACCACTATTACTACTGCTACCACTACTACAACTACCACTATTACTACAACTACTACCACTACTACAACTACTACTACAACTACTACTACAACTACTACTACAACTATTAATAATAGCAAGTAAACAGCATATTAACAATTGTATAACAGGTTAGAACTTAACGATCGAGTAAGAATTTTGTATAATAAAAGAACTCAACACAAAGGATTTAGGTGATAATGCCTGTTTTAATGCTCCCAATCTTATAGACACTAGGCGCTTGTTGTTGTTGTTGTTATTGTTGTCATTGCCGTTGCTAATGTTTTTAATGTTGTTGCTGTTGTTGCAGATGTCTTTATAGTTGTTTTACGTTGTTTTTAGTTTTAATGTTGTTAATTTGATGAATAGCTTGTTAATAATGATGTAAATATTGTTGTTGTTGATAATGCGATTTTTGTTTTTATTATCTTTGTTGTCGTTACTGTTATTGTGGTTGTTGTTGTTGTTGATGTAATACTAAACATTTATATAATATCTACACTACATCAATGTAAGCAGATGAATTGCAATATTTTACGTTTTGAAGCTTCAATTTCAAGAGCATGTTTTAGACAATGTTAACAATTCAAAAATAAAAGTAGAAGAATAAATAAATAAATAAATAGAAAAGTAAATTGTTCTTTATGATCAGTTGAACAACAACTTAATTTACGCACACACAAACAAACAAGCAGACGCACACGCAAACACAAATATAAAACCAACTCCGAACTAATCGCTTATTGGCTCAAATCCATAGACCGTTCAGCCAATCGCGTCAGTGTATTTACCTAATGAATATGTAATGAGATTGAGAAGAAAAATAAATTAATATTAATCGTTTACTAATTGCTCTGGCTAGACTTTATGGTACCACAACAAACCACCAACAATTGCGTCATTCGGTGTAGTACTTTGTAGTCTTGTGTATAAAATTTATATACATCTGTCTGTACGCCCATGTGTGTATGTGTGTGCTGTGTTTATATAGGGAGGTTTTAGTATCTGTGTGTGTTATTGTGTGTCTGTTTTTGTGCGTGCGTGTGTACGTGAGTGTGTACGTGTGTGTATGTGTGTGTACGTATGTGTGTGTTTGGGGAGGAAGGGGGGGGGGGGGGGTAAACATCCTTCCCACAAAAATCTAGTTATCGTTATCGTTATTAAGATTAACAACACAACTTAAACACATCATTAGCTAGACACCATCATGAACAACAACCACTAAAAATTTTTTCATCTATATATTCATGTAAAACAAAGAATATAATAGAAACCAATCAAATGAAATTTAGAAGCAAAAGCTCTACGAGCAATTAAATAAATATCAATGTTAATTTTACACAACATAAGTTTTTAATAAACAAGGAAACGTAGATAGATGGATAGATGGTTGGTTGGATGGTTGGATAGATAGATAAATAAAAGAATGGATAGATGGATGGATGGATGGATGGATGGATGGATGGATGGATGAATAGATGAATGAATGATCAAAGTTAACTACAAGTTTTTTTCAAAGAGGAATGACATCATAACGTTATGAACTCTGCAAATAATGATATAATTTTATTTTTGGTTAGAAAATAAACTTCACCTTACACACACACACACACACACACACGCATAATATATATATATATATATATATTATGTAAGCATATATATAAGTATATGTGTCAATCTTCTCTTAATAAAGAGAATAAGTAGTGAGTTATTGTATGTAATAACGTACGGTAATAACGAGCTAACGAATTTGTATGTGTGTATGTTTGTTTGTATGCGTGAATGTATGCATGCACGTATGTATGTTTGTATATGTGAATGTATGTAAGTATGTGCGTGTATGTTTATATGTAAATGTTTAAATATATATGTAGGTTGTCTGTCTGTTTGCATTCAATTCTGAAGAAGTATGCAATTGAAAACAGATTTGAAAGTCTGTTTTGAATGAATATATGAATGAATGAACGAATGAATGAATGAACGAACGAACAAACGAACGAACGAACGAATGAATGAATGGATAGATGAATAGATAGATGAATGAATGGATGAACAAATGAATGAATAAATGAATAGATGCATGAATGAATGAATGAATGAATGGTTGGATAGATGGATGGAGTATAGGATGATTTAAATCGTGCTAAAATGAGTTGAAATCTACTTCCGAACGATTGTTTCATAAGATGTGACAGAAAAAAAGAATATAAAAGATGAACAAACAAACAAAGAAAAGATAAATAAATAAACAATTAGTTAACAGTTAGCTAATTGAATTAACAAATAAATATAACTATCAAAAAAAAGAATCAACGCTACGATAAGTTTCATTTAAAACAAATTTTTTTAATTGTATTAGAATGATAGCAAATAGTTACTTTAATTATCTACCTATCCGAAAATGAAAAAATTCGAATAGATATGTAAGAGTGAATATGCGTGTGTGTGTGTTTATATGTGTGTGTATGAATATGTGTGTGTGTGTGTGTATATATATGTAAGGTGTGTGTGCGGGAGTGAGAGAGAGAGAGAGAGAGAGAGAGAGAGGTGTGTATAAGTGTATGTATGTATGTTTTTGCGTAGATATGAGTGTGTGTATGTTTCTCTGTGTGTGTATGAGTGTGTGTGTATATGAGGTGTGTGCATACACACGCACATGCAAACACACTCCAAAGCGCATAAAAACATTTTTTTCGGAATGAGCATCAAATGAGTTCTTTGATAAAAATATTTGAGATAAGAGCTACGAAATTGTTTATGATTGTGATGATGGTTCTTATGATAACAATGATGATGATGATGACGACGATGACGACGACGTTGCTTACACATTCGATAATGATAACAATAATGATAAGAAAAAAAAGAGAAAGGGAGAGAAAGAAAAAAAGAGGGAGAAAGAAAGAAAGAAAAAGGGAAAACTAAAAATTAAAAAAAAAGATGAATTATTTAGATAGATAGATAGATAAATAGATAGATAGATAAATAGATTGATATATATAGAAAGCGTAGAGAGAGAGAAAGAGAGAGAGAGAAAGAGATAGAAAGAGAGAGAGCCACAAAATAATAGAGAAAAAAAGAAACAAAGAAAAGAAGAGAAATAGGAAGAGAAAGAAAGAAAGAGACAGAAAATGGGAGGTGAAATGAGAGAGATAGAGTTAAAGAGAGAGATAGAGGTAGAGAAAGAGAGTTAAAGAGAATGGAGAGAGAGAGAGAGAGAGAGAGAGAGAAAGAGAAGGAGATTACACTTAAACTTTACTATCGCGATATCATGTTTTGCAAGTTGATGGCATGCATTCTCATAGATTCATTAACACTCGCTCCCACGTTAATCATATCTCTTCATGTACGCGTGCGTGATATTAATATCACTTATATGTTATATTCACTATCCGTCTTCTTATTTATCTTAGATGGAATAAAAATCTATGTTTTACAATTTATAAATAACAATATTCGGTGTTAGTTTTATTATTAATGTTGTTGTTGTTGTTGTTTTTATTATTCGTGTTGTTATTGTGATAATTTTTTTATTATTCGTGTTGTTGTTGAAGATACATACATACACACACTTATACACACACCTCTCTCTCTCTCTCTCTCTCTCTCTCTCTCTCTCTCTATCTCATTATTGTTCTCTTATTATTGTTATTCCTTGAACCAATTCAATCACACACGCACACACACACTCAACACACACACACCACACAACACACACACACACAGCACAACATACACATTGTTTAAAAATGCTAAGTATGTGTGCGTGAGTGTGTTTTTGTGTAGGTTTGTGTGTTTGAGTTTGTGTGTGGTGTTTGTGTATATGTGAATGTGTGTGTGTGTGTGTGTGTGTGTGTGTGTGTGTGTGTGGGTGGGTGGGTATGTGTGTATGTATTTGGTGTGTGTGTGGGGGGGCGTATGAATGTTTGTGTTTGGTGTGTGTGTTTGGTGTGTGTCGGTATGCGTGTGTGTGTTTGGTGTGTGTGTGCGTGCGTGCGTGTGTGTGTGTGTGTGGGCACGTCGTATATCACTCATTTCGTAATCATTGTTATCATAAAATATTCCTTTTGTTGTTGTTGTTGTTGCTGACATAGTTGTTGTTATTGGGTTGTCATCGTTACCGTTCTTCTTTGTTCTTGAAATTTTTGCTGTTGTAGTTGCTTATGTTATTATTATTATTACTATAATTATTATTAATATCATTATCATCATCGTCCTTCTGCTCACCATCATCCATCGTCTTCATCAACATCGCCAACACCAATTAATGAGCTCTTCGGTTTTATATTTTTATTTAGTTACGAGATTGTGAAAGACGATGAGCCCTTCATAATGATTGAATATTCAACGCGATAGATTGAAATATTAAGATTTAATTTGATGAAGTCCTACCTAGTAAAACGTATTTAAATCTTAGTTACTGATTGTGTGGTTGGTCATTCTGTATGGATGGCTCAGTCGGTCGATCGGTCAGTTAATTGCTGTAGGCAAGCATTAACCAGAATCGCTACCAAACCCTTACACCATATTTTAACCGTTAAATAAATCTTTAACGTGATGGAAAACCAAATGTCTCGTAGCCAGGAATACTATCCATGAAATATATATACGCACGAATATAAATTTATATTAATTTGTGTTTTATTTTAAATACATTGAAAAGATCGGCAAAAACCGACCGAACTCGATTTAACGTCATTGTGCGATATTGCCCTCGAAGACTAAAAAAACATTCATGTGTTTAAATATTCTTCTTCTTTGCCTCTGACATTTTGACAGTTCTGCTATAATAATGAAAATAAATAAATAACTAATAATAATAGTGATGAATAAATTACAAATAATAATAATATTATTATTATTTTGATATTATAACATGAACATAGTGATAAATTATAAGTATGGTAAATAAGTGCTTTGATACAAATTCATCCATTGTCATTTTAACAACTACAATACTTGTCTGTCTAGTGCACACATCGATTCAATTATTATTAATCACCATTATCATCATCATCATCGTCGTTGACGTCATCATCATTCTCATCATTAACATCGCTATCCATCTAAGTTTAATCGCCTCATAATCATCATTATCGATAGATTTTTAGAATTAATTTATCTTTAATAAGTATCTCCAATATATATACATATAATATTGTTAGGATACCGTATTTATACAGTTTTGTACGAATTCTACCAAATTGTTGGCATTAATCAATTTAAAGTTTGTCTTTTCAAATTTCATTACTAGAATTTTTAATGGAGTTTATATATATATATATATATATATATATATATATATAAGTCTGAGTGTGCGTGAGTGTTTTGCGTGCGTGTTTTGCGTGCGTGTTTTGCGTGCGTGTTTTGCGTGCGTGCGTGCGTGCCTATGCGTTATTTATATGCATCACGTTTTTATCATTAAAACTTTATTTCGACAGACAGACACTTCCAACTAATAAAATTTACATTTAAACGGCAAAACTTGATAACAGAAAAATAATTTCGGAATAACTATCATAATGTAATATGGTATTGTAGTGAATAATTTTTGTCATGAATGATGGCGATTTTATTTTTAATGTAACATTGGTAATTTTTTTCATCTATAAAAATATCCGTAATCATAATAACATTAATAATAAATAAACAAATAACAAGATGAATAGTAAATATATATATAACTAGGACAAGATATTTGTTGTGATGCCAATGTGTCTACAAAGTGCAAATTTACATTCATACATTTATCTTTCTCTCTCTCTCTCTTTCTCTCTCTCTTTCTCTATCTCTCATTTATATATATATATATATATATATATACATACATATTTTATATATATGTAACGTGTTATATATGTGTATAATATACAAACAATTGACTTTGTATATGTGCTTGTATATATCACAAATAACATTCATAAAAGAGTCTTAGTTAAGCTGTGTATGTGCATGTGCGTGTATGGGTGTTTATGTGTATGTATGTATGTATGTGTATGGGTGTGTATGTATGTGTGTGTTTATGGGTGTGTATGTATGTGTGTGTACTTCATGTGTGTGTGTATGTGTTTCTGTAGTATGTAACAGGTTATGCGTGTGAATGAATCAGTAATGAAAAGCGGTTTGTTGTGGCTCCACACTGTCTAGAATGTTCAATGGGATTGAGTATTCGTTGTATGTAAGTTTTTTTAAAATGTGTGTGTGTATGTGTGTGTGTGTATGTGTGTGTGTGTGTACGTGTGTGTGTGTGTGTGTTTGTCCATATTTTTGGTGCTTCTCGTAGTGGCGATGGGATTTTGTAGTGTTGGAATAGTATGATGATGAGGCAATGTGATAATGTGATCGGGCGATCATGTGAATATGTGATAATGTGAATATTTGCGTGTCTTGTGGTACGCGTGTTTGTATTTTTTCCAGAAAAAAAAGGTTTCTAGATTTTATTTTTGTTTACATTTTTGATTGAAAATGTATTTTTCTGACGTGTGTGTGTGATAATGATGACAGGTATCACCGATGAACTAACTGATTGATAGCTATCGTTGGTGTATGTTGGGTTTGTTGTTGTATTCAACGCTCGATCAACATTCATATCTTTATAACCAGATGGCTGTTTACCAAAGCATTATGAAGGTGAAATTTTACACCTAGATTAAGTGACAATAAAAAATGTTTTCAAACGGTTGACGTCTCAAATAATAATGATAATTTTGCGTCATCTTTACTTTAATTTTGTAAAACTTTTGATCAAAACTTTTACAAACCTATCAGTGCAGTGTAACCATTAATTAGTGGCGACATTGCATGCTGCCGAATTGTTGAATTATATTTCCTAATCTTGGAACAGGAGTTGTCAGCATTTTGACAGGATAGCATGTTGTACGGAGATGGGAAGCTGGTTGATGATGGTTGGCTTGGAGAGTAATTTTGGTGGCTGATGTGGTTGCTGCTGTGGCTGATGTGGTTGCTACTGTGTCTGATGTGGTTGCTGTGAATAACGTTGTTGTTGATGTTTTTCTGGAAGTTATCTCCAGAACTTCTAGACTCGTTATTCATATCGTTATCGTACCAAAATTTGTTGTTGTTGTTGATGTTATTGTTGTTTGTATAACTTGCGTTGTATAATCCTGAATTTACAATTCTATGTTTTTGAGGAAAGTTTTGCTGTTGCAAGGATTTTGCAGAAGAATTTTTAGTTACTGATGGTGAATATGGTGATAGCGATGACGACAATGGAGATGAATATAAAGTGAGAAGTGCTGATAACGATGACGACGATGATGGGGAGGATGATGATGACGACAATGATGATGATAGATTCATTACTGAAATTTATTTTTTGATGGCTCTAAGTCCTTGTCGAAAGTTCCAACGTACATTCGCAATTATTATTTTTTTGTTTGTTTTTTTGTTTGTTTTTTTGTTAGTTTGTTGTTTTTTTCGTTTGTTATTGTTTGTTGATATTAGTTGTTTGCTGCTGTCATAGATTAAATTGTTATTGACGTTGTTGATTTTGTTATTATTATAAATAAAAAATTATAAATGAAATCAGTTCAAATATATTGTTGATAGTTTGAAAAAGTTACTGATAATAACATAAAAAGTATTAAATCTTATCATCAAATAAAACAGCAGCAACAACACCTAATAACAATAATTAAATTACGCTAATGGTACGTGATCTGATCAGAAGCTTTATGTTGTTTTTAGTAACAACATTCTTATGAACACACTGTTTATAATACTTCAATTTTTTCACAGGCATATTCACACACATACACACAAACAAACAAACACACACACAAACACACACAGATATATATATATATATATATATATATATATACAAAAATACATACATACGTACCTACAAGTATATTAATAATATTGCATACACACATAACCAATAAATTAATTACAACTGCAAATAATAATAATGACTTGCATTGTCATGGTTTATAAAGTGTGCTTGCATTGTTGTTGTCGTTGATGTTTGTTTGTTTGTTTGTTTGTTTGTTTGTTTGTTAACGCTCTTTTCTTGCAAACTGTTCACTCTTTTGTTGTTCGCACATAAAATGTGAACCGAAATACATGAACCTACATGACGAAGGCCCGACGTAAATAATAAATTAACGGATGAATGAATGAATAGACAAATGTTCACGTGTTTGTGTGTGCGCCGGTGTGTGTATGTTTGTATAAGTATGTTTGTGTAGATGCACGTTTGTTTGTATGTTTGCGTGCATTCACACATGTGAGTTTGGTGTGCCTGTGGGGCTCGGAACGGAGTGAAATTGTTATCAGATGTTCGAAAAATATTTTATTTGAACAATTAACAATTTTCAGTTTGTAATAAGAAATACTGTCTTAGAAGCAAGCAACCAATGTCAGTGGAGTTGTTTCATATATTGTTTGTTTAATTTTTCTTTTTTAAACATTCGAGCATTGAACAGAGATAACCGAATAGCATAAAATTAATATGCACAAACACGATGCCCGCACATAACATCATCATTAGTATCCACCGCATGCTTCTTGACCTCAAAAAGTTCAAGGTCATAGATCATATGTAGGTCACGACAATGCAAATTACCAGCTTAACTTATTGTTTGTCTTGCTCTATCATATAACAGAGATAATGATTGTGGCCGATCGAAGGGGTGATGGGTCGGTTGATTGATTGATTGATTGAATGATTGATTGGTTGATGATGGATTGGTAACTGATTGTTGATTGATTGTTGATTGATTGGCTGATTGATTGATTGGCTAATTGATTAATTGATGATTGATAGGTGTTAAAGTTAGAGCTACTGCAAATTAAATAGCTCACAACTATTACCTCACAACGTTTAGAACAATCATGTTTAAAATGAGAGGAAGAAAAAAATTAATGAAGATTCCTGTAAAAAGACTTACGATGAGGATTAGATTGAAAGGTGATAATTATGAAATAGAGGGCTAATGATGACACCCGCTAAAGATTCAAATTTTAATTATAAAAGTGAAATACATATTACAAATCTTCTCAATCGCAGACGCTGAATTAGTTGGGCAGCAGAGCACGTTGTTCTCCAGCAAGTAGTTTATTGGTAAGGTAGAGAAATCTCCACACCTACAATATTTTTTCTACAATCTGTTGGTTCAACTCCGCGATGAACAGTTATTTTTGCAATATTTGTTTGATTAGTTTGTCTATTATGAAATAAAATAGCCAACAACATCACAGAAACCAAAATGACCGGCTAGACCTTTCAAAGAGGAAATGATAACAATTTCTACTCTTTAACTGTTTTTTCCGGCTCAATTTGCAGAGGGTTGTTTGAAATGATGCTGATTAATTAAGCAGTTAATTGTTTTTATTTCGATTAATCAATCAATCAATCAATCAATCAGTCAATCAATCAATCATACAACTTTTGTGAAACGACAGGACTGATATATGTCAATCAGTGTGGTTGGTTGGTTGGATAGGAGTTCGGATCAAGATTCAATAGGGCAAAAAAGAAATTAAACAAATTGAAGTGAGTGAGTGAGTGAGTGAGTGAGTGAGTGAGTGAGCGAGCGAGCGAGTGATTGAGTGAGTGAGTGAGTGAGTGAGTGAGTGAGTGAGTGAGTGAGTGAGTGAGTGAGTGAGTGAGTGAGTGAGTGAGTGAGTGAGTGAGTGAGTGAGTGAGTGAGTGAGTGAGTGAGTGAGTGAGTGAGTGAGTGAGTGAGTGAGTGAGTGAGTGAGTGAGTGAGTTATCAGCCAATGATTGAGCGAATGAGTGAATGAAAAACAGCGTTTGAGTAAATGAGTAAGTGATAAAATACAAAAGATCGTCTAAGCTTGGAATTAAAACATTTAAACACCCCACGTCATAATCGTCACGATAATCATCTATGCTATCATCACTGTCACCATATTCATCATCATATTCATCATCATATTCATCTTCTTCGTTATCGCCATAATCATCACTATCATTACCATCATCATTATTTCGAACATTTCACTATCAACCAGTCGCCAAAACACAGCGGGAACAGCTAGAAACGTTTAGCCACCATCTGGATGCATTAGAATGTTAAATCCTCCTTCTTTTCACCATCATCTTTTCATCATCATGGTGCTTATGTGTACCACAATGATATAATTATTATCATCATTTAACGTAATAAATATTTCCTTTTTCCAATGACAAATCATTGTTCATCAATTAAATTAATGAAAAAAAAATCAATAAAACCATAATAACCAAACTTTGCTTGTCCAATCCGCAACAAATTCATGACTAATTCTATTTTGGTAACAACATTTACACAAACATATTTACTGTGTATCTATCTACTTAGTGTATCATACATACGATAGTATATAGATATTATATATATATATATATATATATATATATATATATATATATATATATATATATATATATATATATATGTGTGTGTGTGTGTGTGTGTATATAACACGTATTTATATGTATCAATTATTAAGATAAGTATCTATCAATAGATAGTTTCATAGATAGAATGTTAGATAATGACATTAATGATTATTATTAGTAATCCTTACAAAAACATGCCCATGTTTGCATTTGAACAACGTTTCGTTAGTTGCTTGCCTGGTTGGACCGCCAATAAGAACAGGGAGGCTTACTTAATACAAATACAAATACAATTAATACAAATACAATTAATACGAATACAAACAAATGATACAATACTAATGTTCTTACTCAGCAAATCTTTTGTTAAATATTACAATTATGCTGTCTATCACTCTACCTATCTATCTACATATATCGCAATAATTAAAACCGATTCACCCATATTATATGTATATAGACGTATGTATGTATGCACTGTATATCTACGTTATGTATATTTAATATATGTATGTATTGTATGTTGTATATATACAATATACTAATTATACAAATGTTGATTTAGTTTGTATTATATGTGATTATATTTTATATAAAATCGATGTATTTCAGCTACAATGTTCAATAGTTTTCTATCGATATATTTAACCATAAATTCATTTCAAAGTGAAATGTTTCGAGTTTATGCATGTATATATTTATATTTTATATACAAATGCATACAAATCTATATAAATAACCAAGTAGAAATATGTCTTGAGAATTTAAGAGTACGCTATAATCAGTAATAAAACATATTTTAATGCATAACAAACATATAAACGCTGTTTATACACGCACGTTTATGCTGATGTGAGTTGCATTCATCTCTGTGCCTCTCTCTCTCTCTCTCTCTCTCTCTCTCTCTCTCTCTCTCTCTCTCTCTCTATGTGTCTATGTGTTTTTATTTGTTTATATGTTTTTGCACGCGTGTATGTGTGTTTGTTTGTTTTTGTGTTTGTTCGTCTGTGTTTGTGTTTCTGTAACTACAAAATCATCATCATTTTTTTATCTCTATTGAATGATGATAAAGTCTTCATCCTCATCGGTGATATTTCTCACTAAATCATTTTTCCTAACTCATTACCACCATCGTCGTTGTCACCATCCTCGCCATCGTCATCATCTCCATCATCATCATCGTCATCATCATTGCATACGTTAAGCAAACCTCTCGACGCCTCAATTAGGATCACCATTTCTTGAAACTTTATAAAAAAAAAATCCCAACACGAGCCATTTTCAACATTCATGGATCAATGAATGGTACGTACGCATTGGCATGTATATGAAGAACCTCAAATGTCAAAAAATAAATTTATAAAAACAGAAGAGAGGGAGAAAAAAAGAGAGAGAGACAGAAAGAGAGAGAGAGACAGAAAGAGAGAGAGAGACAGACAGACAGACAGAAAAAGGGAGAAAGAAAGAGAGAGAAAGAGAAAAAGAGAGAGAGAAAATATGCGTATGCCACACAAACTACTTAGCTACATGTTGAAGCACGTGCGTGCAGTTTGCAACCGTCCAGACAGAATGGCGCCAGAGGATATCCAAGCGCAACTTTTTCTTCAAGTTCTCTACATCATGACGTCATCGTTTCGTTGTTAATGTTCTTGCTGGTTTTATTGTTTTTGTTTTGTTGTTA